TTATGGGCTATACAATAAACCTGACTTTCTGCTTTTCCAATGGTTCACAGAGTTTTTACGACTACTCAGAGGCTGACTGTAGTGCTTGTGACGTGATGACATGTTTATTGTACCTTTTATGGATCATTTGAAGTCAGTGCAGACTGGAGATATACACTGTATCTTGTAGCTGTCGTATGAGCTGAATCCAAAAGGGTTTTGGCAAGGACAAGTCAAGTAAACTGAGACCCCATTTATCCAGATGACATTTTATACACTTTCACTTTATTTACACTTGTTTTGACTTTGTGGGATGATACATTGCCTTAAGTACAATTGTTTAACCCACAAACATATTTACAGTAGCTAACTAACAAATCAAGGCTTCAATTTTTTCATAGACATAGCTCTCACAAAAGCGGATCCACACAGACTCACACACACGCCAACACACAAATCAATCCTTTAAACCCAATTCCCCAGTTGTAAATGTATTTTCCTGATCAATAACACCATTCGTGATTCATTGTCTCTGGCTCACGGCCTTGGTAACGCTACAACTTGACTAAAATGACTGGTAAAAAGGTGGCACAGGCCATCTGATTTAGTATGAAAAAAAAAAAGACAACATACGTTGATGTCACAACACGACTGAAAAAGTAAAGTTCAAGAGAAACCTTGCCCTTTTAATGTGCCCCCTAACCTTTTGTTCTGTTGCCTGTCGAGTCATGTCCCCTTCACAGATTTGATGTGTCCTGTCTGCTTTGGTCCTCGCTAGGATAATGATGTTTGTGTGAGGGAGAGTGTTTTTACATTTTTTACATTTTTAGTCTGTGTGTTGGCAAGTGTGGGGGGGAGGTGCGAAGATACCGACCCACATACTGTAACACACCTCCTCCAGTCATGCTGATACAAATTTGACACATACAAGGACAAACTTGCAGACACTCACACACACCCACGCACACAGAAACACACACGCAGAGGATGAGTCATTGCTGGATCCTTAATTAGGACCATTTAAGCATGTTATGTGTGTCTTGCTTACAAGCTCCTCTTTCCCTCCCTATTTCCTTCTTTTCCTCGTTACTTCCACGTCCCCCAGACGGGATAATATAGAAAGTTGTGGCCACGGAGTCTCATCGCCCACCTCTCTCCTTTTATTCTGCCTCTGCTTTTTCACACGGTTTCATGATAATTTCCCTCCTGAGAGATAAGGTGTGGGCTGCGGCACTGGGTTAAAACTATGTATGAGATCCAGAGACAAGGGAGAGAGTAGGGGTTTGCCGATTGTGTTATCTGATGCGTTGGAGTGTGTGAATGGTCCATGGATACAGGCATTACAAGAATAGTTGGTGGAAAGGCTGAATGCGTTGAGGGAGACAGTACAGAGCGTATCGGGTTTATTGTGTGGAATCAAGTTTCCTCAGAATATGTATCCCACATATATAATATGTCACGCTATAAATCGGTGTATTTGTCATTGTTTGATATTTCAACAAAAACAGTTTTGTCTTATTAAAAACATTATAATATATAAGAAGAAAAAAATGCAAAGAGCAGTAGTGCTTGTTGTGAAAATCACCCAAGTAGCAGCAGATAGACAGACTTTTATTCTCAGCTCCAGGTCTAATATTCATTCCCAACAGAATATCTACAACTCTTTTTTGCACTGCCTCATTTGAATGAACCTGTCACCTGTCTGCGCTCACCGTGTGCTTAGCACCAAAATAACACAGACGGGCAAGGACAATTTCAAGGTCAGGAAACGGTTGGAGCGCGGCTTGCACAGTGTTGCAAGGTTGCAACAGTGATTTAGTTTGAATTATTCAATACCTTTCAGATAGTTACACTAGCCACCAAGTGTACGTGGTATATATTTACATTTTGTATAGCACCCCGACTTCCACTCTTATAAGAGAGACTTTTAAAAGAACAGGATATAGATTATATTTGATCCTTCTCTTAACTGTCCATTAGGTATATACATTTTATATCTGTCTGCATCACAGCTTGGTGTAGTTGTGGTCTCAGTTACATCTGTGCCTAAACCCAACAGCGATGTCTGTGTGTACTAACACACCCTGGAGTACACCTCCGCAATTGTTTGAAAAAGATACAACATTGTTTCCACTATAATTCATTTATTAAAGTTTAATTTATCACAAGAGTACATTTTCCTGTTCCACCTCACTTCTGGATTAGCAAACATAAAGATAAGTTGATGGAATGTAGAAGTAGAGTAATGAGGAGGATAAAACACAGCGTTATACTTTGGCAGAGGAAACACTTGGTGAACTCCAGTAAGAAGGATTGCATCTTCACTAAATACTCTAAAAACAGATTAGCTCTCCAGCTATGGGTTCACATTTTCATCGAGAACAATAGGTATTCTTCTGAAAGTGCCGACTTATTCAACCACTCTGTGTTCATCTACTTAGTGTTTTATTTGATGTAAAGGGAAAATTCAGACCACAAAATCCGCCTCTACAGAGATAATTATTCAAAGGACTCTCAGCTTTCCAACAATCATGGGATTTAACTTAAAAAAGTATAAAATGGTAAATTCAGTAGAAGCAGCAGTTGGCAGAGTGTTAACACTTCTATGTTTTGGGATTTAATTCCCAGTCAAGCTCCCAGGAACATTACTGGACTGTGGCAGTTTTTTAGTGGCAGTCCCAATTAAAATTTATTAAAGTCTGTGTCCATGAATCCAGAAAAACTTTAAATAAATACATTACACTACATATTTCTGCAAAACTAAAAAGAGTGTTTCTCTCACAGACACATTTCTCATTGAATTATCACAATTATAACCATCAGGGCCAGTAAAATTGAAAGGCATTTAGCGTCAAAATATTATTTTGATGCCATTTATGTGAGTTAAAGGGCACTCACGGGAGTAAACAGGAGAACATTTGTCCGCATTTGGGCTGGGTGGAGAGCTTTAATTTGAATTAACGGGCTGCCATTGTTAGAGCCATATTTTTACAAATCATAATTTCTCATTTCTGCTAATATATTTGTGTGACTCCTTTAATTTATGAACGAAGGTTACATTTTGGATTCTGTATAATTACTCTTCGTTAGGAACTCCTGTGATTAATAACCAGATGAGGATCAGCTGGCATAAGAGGAAGGGGTGGGACTGAGTCTCGAGTGTTGGTTTTCCTTTGTGCGGAACAGGGCATCGGGATAGTCTTTGACCTCACGCTTAACAGATTATATTTTGCTGTTCAATTTGTCAAAAGAGAAAATAAAATCAATCAAGTGACGGCAAAGAAAGCAGTGTCTGCAAGAGTCATTATTTAGATGGTTCAACGTGTGAGTCAGAAACAGAGCCTCGTAACGTGGCTCAGTACAGAGGAAGAGGAATCAAGAACGGGCCACCACAGCCATATTGATACATCGCAGTTCCCTCAGCAATAAATACAGTAGTCAAAGCTCTTAATTAGAAAAAAAGGGACTGTGAATGAGAGGTCAAGAGCCATCAGGAAATGTGCTCGTTTTTTTGGTGGGGTAGTCGGGCAGAAGAGAATTCTATTTCATCTGTGGTTTGTTTACTTGTGTGTGCCTCTCTCTGCATTTGTGTGTGTTTTTGTGCTACCAATTATAGCCATGACACAGCTGTGCTTTGCCCTCCTCATCTGCTCCTTAGTTGAACAATAATCTGCTTTGGATACTGCCGCGCTGCCTCCAAAGCTCACTAGTCATCAATATCAATGCTTGATCCGACACAAGTGCAAGCTCACACACATGCAGGTAACAGCAGAAATAGACATCCAAAAGAAATGGAAGAATCAGATACAAAATGCAAGTTATTAGTCTGCTTCTCTCACATTCAGCTCTGTTGATGTATGGTCGTGTGATGCGTTGTGGCACACTGATGTTTTACCTCTTTGAAGTGGGCAAGGCCCTTAAAATATTCTCCTTATGTAACTGTCCCTGTTGCAAGGCCGCACGAGGCTGTGTGAGGCAAAGCGTAATGGTGGTGGGCATGCTTCTGAATGTGTGCGTGTGCTCATGTTTGTGTGTGTGTGTATACAGTATGTAAGCACACATCTGTATGTGCTCGTCTGCCTGCGTGTTTAAGAGACGCTTTCTCCCGTGTGAATTATGCAGACCAGGATGGGGGTGCAGGGCGGGGAAGATCCAGCAGTTACACAGCTTTTGAATTAGAAGAGTCAAAACACCCGTCTGAAAACAACCTCATGATGCAGAACGGGAGGGAGAAAGGAGAACGGAGTGTCTATAGAAAGATCAGCTGGAAAGACAGGAAGTGAGACAGAGATCAGGAAAGGGCAGGATGAGGGAAGGAGGGTTTAGGAAATGGATTGAACTGAGACCACTAACAAGGGACAGAACATAGGGGGGTAAGACAGAATTGGACTCTGGGGTTTATTGTGGCTTAAAGGCAACGATCAGTGGTATGATGAGAAATACAATACGGAAAGGAAACAAGAAGCAGGAAAAGGAGCAACACAAGCAGGAAATTCCTTTGAGAGTTTGGCAATACATTTCATATCTACAGTACCTTCTCCTGTACATAGTCTCACCATGTGCAGAAAAACCAACCTGCTAAACATGCATAGTTACCGTAAATAGACAATGATTACAGACAAGGAGCCTTTTTTGTGTAGAACAGCGTGGGGTTCATCACTGAATCTCTCACACACACACACACACACACACACATCCATGCCACAGAACCACAAAACAAAGCACAAAGTGGGCTGGTTATTTTTGGTACCAGTGCTTTTAAAAAAAACCTCTTTACCATAATTAGAAAGTGTAGAGTGTCTTGGCAATACAGTTATGAGACTTCACAGGTGTCAAATTTGGACCTTGGCAACACATTTGGAAGTATTTTTTTCTATTTAGAGATCAAGTCTTGCTGATGTAATGAAACTTATTTGTTCTATTCTTAACTTCCCTCTTCTTTCCTCACATTTCTGTCCTCTTTTCTGTGTTGTTCATCCCTGTTGTCCTTTCTAAAACCACCCACTTGTTTTCATGTGCAGGTATTGGTCAGGGTGTGCCGGTGGTGGCTCTGATCGTAGAGGGAGGCCCTAATGTGATCTCCATTGTGCTGGAGTACCTCAGGGACACACCGCCCATCCCTGTGGTTGTGTGTGATGGCAGCGGCAGGGCCTCAGACATCTTGGCCTTCGGACACAAATACTCTGAGGATGGAGGGTATGCACTCACATGTGCACATTATTCTACAATCCAAGGGCAAACACTTACTAATACAATGCTTATCCAATGTGGAAAAGGTTGTTGGTAATCAGAATTTCTGATATTTTTAGTATATTAGTGTTCATTAAACAATGTGGCTTAGATCAAACATAACAAGTATACAATTTCATGTATTCTGTACATGACAGCAAAAGTGTTATTTATTCAGATATGCTTTTTGGGGAAAAAGATGTTAAACCTGATGCAACAACTTGCAAAAATGTATACATTTTGTGAAATGTGCTAATGTGTTACTTTAAAAAAAACCATAGTAGACTTTTTTGGTTGTATTCATCATAAGACACACCATGAATTTAGAATAGACTTTTTTCAGAATTAGATTTTATAGCTTCATATATCAAGTTACAGATTAAGGTAAACCTGCAGAATCGCATCTCACCAATGACCCTGAGACAGTAGGACTGAGAGCTCCAGTCAACCTTGGTTTCACTTACTGACAAGCAAATCTAATTAGCCTGCCTCCCCCTCACTGTTTTATTCTCCTTCCTCTATCCGACCCCTTTCCTGACACACTCTTTTTTTTTTCTCTGCACCTCTGCAGCATAATTAACGAGTCTCTAAGAGACCAGTTGCTGGTGACCATCCAGAAGACTTTCACCTACAGCCGCACACAGGCCCAACATCTGTTCATCATTCTCATGGAGTGCATGAAGAAGAAGGAGTTGGTGAGTGTCACTTTCATAAATGTTCACATACACATGCCAGCAGACACACGTGCACATGCACATATTTGCACGTGCAAGACTATATTTGCAGATGCAGATAAAGCAAACATATGAGCAGTATACGAAAAACTGAAGAGCTGACAGACACGCACACACACACACACACACACACACACACACACAGTTGTGTTTTCATGACTTTTGAGAGCATTACCCTTGACTTACATTCATTTTCTGGAGTCTTCACCCTAGGATTTTATGATTTACGTTGTGGGGACGTGCATTTTGTCCCCATAAGGAAGGCGAGTGCCCACAATGTCACTGTGTTAACAGAATTATGTCCCCAAAAAATGGGTAAACACGCCCACACACACACACACACACACACCATTAAACCACCAATAACAGTAATATCACCAATCATTCAAGCTTTGATGTCTCTGCTGTATAAAGAAGCCCAACAATGAAAAATATGTGAAGGAGGAACAAATGGATTTGTGAATTGAAGCTTGCTCATCATGAAAGTTGTATTGAAGCAAGTATTAATCCATCCTTTATGCATGACATGTAATGTTAAGTGGATGTAAATATATTCAGATGACGTTTGGCACAAAATGTCCTCCACCTTGAGAGTTTTTCCCCTTTGGCAGTGTTTAATTCCCAGTGCCTTTAGAGCACTGTCAGACACATGAGAGCGACCTCTTGATAATGCTGTTGACTGCTGTAAGTGCAGTGGTGACAATCATGTCTGTGTGTGTATACGTTTTCATCATGGTACATTTGATCACAGTAGCAGTGGGCGTCTGGCTTTCTTGCCACATTGCTCTATATGGCACACACATTGTGATTGAAAGTGTGCACCACAGCAGTGCATGCAAACACCCACACGCAACCCACAAAACAAACAGCTAGCAGCTTTTACTGTATCCTAGTTGTGCAGCATCACTAACTTATTTACCACTTGGTTCTAATGCCTTAGAAAGGGGAGGGAATATTTGCCAGATCAGTGACTGTTGGTACTGCTGGTTGCCAGTAGCATTTTGCTAGTACATTTGTAATTAGTATCATTCACACACCTAAGCCTTATCTTTTTTTTACCTTTTTAGAAGTAAAAGTGCTGAGCTAGAATTCAGCTTAACACCTTGAAACACAATGGCTGGGGTGTTTAAAATGACTTAACCAGGTATTTACCATGCAATAATCTTCCCAGTTTGTAAAAATACTCTGCTGCACGATATATATCGTTTAAGCATCAACATTGTGATTTGCGCATGCACTATAGTCACTCAAACTCGTCATGCAACACCTTTTTCGCTGCTTGATACAAAAGGAAAACTCCCATGCTTCTCATTTTCCATGATTTATCCTGTGTTGCCATTAATTACCTACAGTCTGGTAGACCCGCCACAGTTTCATAATGCACCGTATGTATTTTCAAACTTCTCAATGAGTTGGGTCGGTGCAGTCTGCCTCAACTTTACAGCACCCCTAACTCTGACCTTGCCACTCGGCCATGGACTTTTAGTGTTGCGCCCTCTCCCTGCGGCAACCGGGGCAGAATGTCCTCAGTGCGCGCTCTGCGGTGACGTCGCCAACCCACCTGACCTGTCTTGAAACACAGAGCCCATTTTGTTAAACTGCTTTGTGGGTGTTACTTTTTTGCTGTGTCATCACCATTCATATTTATACAACCAATGTGTTTATGATAGCATTGTTTGCTAGAGCACAAACATGTTTGAAAGAGGACAACATTGTTTATCTAGCCTCTTAATTTTGTTCTCAAAGTGCAACAGATTGAAATTTAAGGTGTACAAAATTTAGGGTGAATATTCCTGTATTTTTTCATATCACAATATATTTATATTTCAGATATATACATTCCAATATTGTGCAGCCCTAAAAAATACTGTAGAATAATTATTTTATTTTGTGTTTCAGTTAATATAGCAATTGCAGGAAAATGAGTAACACACAAAAAAAATCTAAAGTATTTGCATACACAAAGTGCACTCGCAAAAACATGTATTTTCCAGGCAGCCCAGCATTGGTCATGGTTGTGCAGCGTGTAAGTGGATTGATTGTGTTGCCAGTGGGGTTCCAGTGGCTGTCTGATGCTCACACTGATGCTCCGTCTGAATACAATACACCAGAGCAGAACAATGTGTGAATCATTCAGCAGGAGCAGCTGTACAGGCCAGATAATCTGATTCTGCCTCTCTCTGAACTTAAAAAACTGAAAGTGGATTTTGGCAGTGTTATATGTCCACCAACTGTTCCACCCTTGTATTAATATTCCTGTGTTTTACTGGACAATCGGGTATTTGTCTGATAATCCATTTACTGCCAGAAAGAAAGTGTTCTTTAACATGCTAACCACAGTTAAAATGCAGACATTTGGGGTTACACTACCCGTCATGTGGCAAAAGAAGGGCTTTACAGCCAGTGTGTAACTTTGTCTAATTAATAGATCTGTATGATCACAGATAGAAGAGTGCAAGAGCAGGAAAATCCAACATTCATAACCAGGATGCTGTACATCATGGAGTATGTATGAATGTGGCATTTGTGGTTTATAATCTTAACAATGCCATAAAACATTTACCAATGACATAAAACTTTGTCAGCATACTCTATGGTAATATATTCAGTGGAAGCAATCCTCTTCCTTGTATGTCTTCCATAATAACTCAGGCTTTTCTCAGTTAGCACGTACTGCAATCATTAGTGCCCATACACAGTGCCCACAGTCTCTGTGAAACCAGAACATGTATGGCTTGGCCTATTTCATATTTTTTCATAAACATGTTTCATTTTGCTCTGGGGAGCTTCCAATCGGCTGGGTCACCATACTCATATAACCTGTGTTAAAGTCACCCACTTGACCCCAGATCAGACTGAACCACTTTTCAATTCTCCGATATTATAATACTACAGGACAACTTAATACAAGTAGTAAGGCTGTACTGAATGTCAGCTTCCTTCAAGATTTTTGAATGAAGCTTTGAATGTTTTTGACTTTACAATTCTCTGGAGTTATTGGTAATGTTTTGATGACACTCGTCGGAAACAATCCTATGCAGCAACCATTAGAATCTCATTCTAGTATAATACTCATAATATTAGACTTGCCTTTCTGCAGCTGTGCAGAAATACTGTGTTTAATCAGAATGGATAGACCTGCACAAAATAAAAAGAAGCTCGGCAGCATTCAAATGCTCCTGCATGGTGATCAAACTGTTCATGTCTACCAGTATACTAACTGCTATGTAGATGGTCTTCTGTGTTGTACTGTCACTATGTATATGCCCTCTTGTACCGGCAGTAACTGCGCAGGATTGATGAGTTTGCAATATTTAATCTGGAGACTAAAATGACAGACATTGCAGGAGAATTGGTGAATTCCTTTTATTTATTTTTACTTTTAAATGTTATTCAAGACACTCACTCTACATTCATGTTCAAGAGTCTCTACAGATGACATCAGAAACGGTTTATTGCTGTTGGCTTGGTGATTGGTGCGTGACAATAAACAAATACTGCAAAATTAAATGCTATAATTTAAAAATAGAGAACATGATAAACAAACAAATGTAGTGTACATTCAAACAAATATGTTTTTAAAGTGTAACGTTTATATTTAAAGAAAATAGTTGTGCAAGGGTGTGTAACTGCAAGTCACTGTCCTGGGGATGTAACAGTCCGAGGCAGTGGGGGTCAGTTCTTGTGGCGTGAGGTCTTGGTCCTGATGGACCGAAGCCTCCTGACAGAGGGAAGGGACTCAAAGAGTTTGTGTCCAGGGTGAGAGGGGTCGGCTATAATCTTTCTTGCTCCGCTTCAGGGTCCTGGAGGGACAGCAGATTGCAGCCAATCACTTAATAACCTACTCAGCAGAGTATGAGTGTAAGAGTGTAACGTAAGACTTGAGATGTCTAGACTTTGCAGTCAATATCTACTATTGGGATGCAGTGAGATCATATTAGTTCTATAGTACTACAATCCCAAAACAATAACAATTGTAGACACCTGTGTTTACCTTGTATACCAAAGCCAAGTAGTGTCAAACCCATGTTAACACTCAGATCAGGAGCAGGGTCACAAAAACGTTGCATTGACTCTTTTACACTGGCAGCAAATGTGGGTTCATCATCCTGGGTCAGTGCTGCGGGCCAAAAGGCGTTAAGTGTGTGAGAGGGAGAGACACAATGAGACTGTGTGTTTGTCTGTGTGCCAGCTCGCCTGCAGTTACATTTTTCTGGCTCTGCAGCAGGAAAGCCAAAGAATAGGAGGAAAAGAGAAAGACTAAAGGTGACTGGCTGTGAGAGGGAGAGTGTGTCTGCTTAATGTCGACCTTACACCAAATTACTTTTCATGAGATTTTAGTGTTGCAGAAACATTTTGAAAGTGTTGCTAGAGTTGTGGCACACTCCAGTATTTACATCATTTGTTGTAAGGTGGTCGTAAAACTTAGCCTGAGCCGTCTTAAATCTGTATTTCTCTCATCTTGACCTTCTGATGAAATCGTTTATGTTTTATTTTATCGTAAGTTCAATGACATGAACATTGTCAACCAATAGTTTTCGAATAATAATTTCTCCAGCACTAAACAGGAAGCAGCAAAGAGAAGTAGGGTGATTAAAGAGCGGATGTGTCTTTCAGCATGTTGGTTTATTCATGTAGACATTTTGTGCTTCAGTTATTTCCCTGTTGCCTCTGCTTTGTTTATCGTACTGAGGGCTGTTTATGCTTTGTATCAAGAGGCAATAAACCTGTGATCCATTGTAAGTACACACTGTATATGTACGTGTGTACCTCTGTGTTTTATGTTTTTATCCTTGTTTTACCAAAAGTGGAACAGTTGTATTCAATATGCCTTAATATTGTGATTTCAAGATGCCAGATGATACATTTTATCATTAATATGTTGCTGTGAAATCAGTTAGGCAGTAAATTATAAAACTGGGAAGGGCTCTTTGCAGCTGCAAACAATAGTACCAATTACCTGCTTTATGCTTTCATTTGGTCTAATCTAGAAGTGTGTTTGATCATCTGCCAAAGAAAAAAATCTGTTCTGATAGATGATAGAATGTTAGGTTCCAAGTCGGAGAAGGAAGGTATGGGAAATAATTGTTAAGCTACTCAATGAATGATGTGCAAGCTCTTTAGTTTTACTTGAGGGTAACAGATGTAAGATTTATAGATGGTGTGTTATAAAAAAGAAAGCATAGGCCACATTTGAATCAACTTGTCTGGATGGATGATAAGGGTAACTATCTACCTCATGTACTCATGTATTCACATCGCTTATCTTGTTTCTTGTATCCCTTCAACATAAAGATTAAATCATTTCATATAAATGTCAAACCAGCACACTGAAAAGTCTACAGGCTGCGTGTGAACCAGTGCCTTTAAATATCAGCAAGGCCTGTTGTCATGTAACTCTTTTTCTTTTTTTGCTAGAAACGTGTTAATCCAATTCCAGGTCTAATTAAGAGAGAAGTACCTCATTCTACCTCACCATCTCTCACTCACAGCCCTTCACACTTCATCTGTGATGGGAGGGGGGGGGGGGGGGGG